AAAAAGTATGTTTGCGAATACAAAATCGGCAGTCTGGTCAAGGGAAGGTCTATCTGACTGGTTTGACTGTAATGTAGGAGTGAGACAGGGATGTCTTTTAAGTCCATTGCTGTTTGCGCGTTTTTTAAATGACCTACATGAAGCATAGGGAGGCGGTTTGGAAATAAATGGTTTAATTATAAGACTTTTATTATATGCAGATGATTTGGTTTTAATGGCAATCAATTCGAAGGTGCTACAGCGGATGATTAATGAACTAGAAAAATACTGCAGGATGTGGAATCTAAAAATAAATTTAGATAAATCCAAAATTCTTGTGTTCAGAAGAGGAGGTGCTGTGATCAGGGAATCTTGGAAACTCAATGATCGAGTATTAGAGGTAGTGAATAACTATAATTATTTAGGAATGATATTAACACCCAAGTTGTCGTATAAAGCTCATCTAAAAAAGCGCCAGAGTTTGGCAAAAGTGGCGATTCACACGGCTTGGAGTAGTTTAGTGTCTAAGGCTGAAATACCCTTTTTGGCTAAAGTAACAGTGTATGAGTCAGTGGTAAGATCGATTTTGACTTATGGGTCTCAGGTATGGGGTATTTTTGAGTACGATGAGGTGGAAATAATCAGAAGATTTTATATAAAAAAAATGTTTTCTTGTCCAAGGTATTGTCCTAACTTTATGTTAGATTTGGAGACAGGTATTGCTAGAGTCAGCCTATATACGATGAACTTACATAAAAACTATGTCAAAAAAATACTAGGATATACAAATGATAGGTTGCTAAAATTTCTTTTGAAGGAAATGATGAGAGCAAGGTGTGGCTGGTGGAAAGATTGGATGAGCATGGGAGAAAAATTTGGTATTGAGATTAGGTGTGAATGGGAATGGAGAGATAGCTCGCCTAGTATGATTAAGAATATGATAGAAAAGAAGAAGGAGGAGATACAGCGTCAGGCTGAGAACAGGGCACTCGAATCAAATTTTTGTGGACACTACAGAGAACTGCGGGAAGAAGGAGTAAACATGCATTACCTACATGAAATGGAAAATTTTGCGGATATTCGATGGCTCTTTAAATTAAGATGTGAGGTTTTATATTTGAATGATCGACCTGGCAGAAATGATGAAAGAAGATTTTGCTCAATGTGTAACACGAAGGAAAGGGAAGATGTGATACATTTTTTGGGAAAATGTTCGGTGTTGAGACATATTAGGTTAAAGTGGTTGGGTAGACATGAACTTAGTAGAGTGGAAGTAGTTACTATGATGAGACAGGGCAAGGCTGAGTTAGCAGGTTATTGTAGGGAGGCATGGGTGTATAGGTATGAGTTAGTGAGCCTATTTAACTACTAAATCTATTAGCGTGGTGTTATATTAAAATTAGAATTAATAATTTGTTTGCTTATAGCTATTATCTTTTTATCTATCTGGTCTATCTTGACTAATATTGGTATTATTATTGTTACTATTATTATTTTTGTATCTGCAGCTTTCACTCTCTCAAAGGAATATTCAATCTTTTCAATTGTAATCTATACCTCACTGTTATACATTGTTATTATTGTTAAGTCTAGTGCGAAGTGTTACTTAGTAGGATATATACATTTAGTTTATTACTAACATTTATATGAATATTTACATAATTTATTTTTTATTTATTTTAATGGCCTTGTTAGATAGAATAAGCCTTTGTGTAATTTTTTGTATATTAATTAGGGAATATTTGTTTGCCAACCCTCCTGATGGCATGTGCCAAGGAGAACAAATGTCACTAAAAGTATTGTATTGTATTTTTTTATATTGAAAAATAAAAGGCATTATTGATTGATTGTCAACGATGAATGGATTTTTCTTTTGGCATGTTCTTAGTATGTTTTCCCACTCAGCTGGAGAATACACATGTTGACAATGAGCTCGTACGTATTTTTCTACAACAGCAAAATCTCTGTCTGATGATAACATTGTGTGTCCGATTTGTGGAAAAATATGTATTATTTTCTTAAAATTTCCCAGAGCTAGTAAACGAAGCCACACTCCAACCAAAGACCAGTTTTTATTTTGACCGATGCAGTTATCAGAGATAGCTATTAACGTATGTCCTTTAATATTGTGCAACTGGAAGTGTTTAAGCAGACAGCTTCCGATATCTTCTGCACCTCTAGCAGCGGTTGACTCGTCCCACAAATAAAAGTATCCCTGTGAGGGATATAATGAGTGTATACCCAGATTGTAAGAAAAAAGTTTCTTTTTATAAAATGTAGGACCAGTAGACAATTTGGAGGGTTGGAAGTGCTTGTTGAAGTTCAAATGTTATTGCATATGTTTCGTTGCTCTTTTGTGCTTTTTTTGTTGCATTTTTATCGCGTCTTGTCCAGCTTTAGCCTTTCTTAGATATGCGGCACGTGTCAGATTTAGGTAATTTAAATTTAATATTAAAGTCGTCAGTAAATACTCTTCGAAACTTATCAGCAGATAGACATTCAATTTTGTAAACCTCATAGCATTTCTCTATTGTATAGTCCATTGTCATAAAATACGTGTTACAGTTGTCATTTCAGAAATAGTGACTCTCATGTTTTGGGAGTCTTTCAATAAATTCTTTAAGAAATAGGATGTTCTCATTAGAATTTTTTTTTGTGATTTGCATGACGTTCAGCGTTAGTAAACCTTGTTTGATGTTTTTAGCAATATTATCGACTCTACCCCTATTATGTTAGTCCATGAATATTTAGAAATGCTTTCTTACAAATTTGATACCTCGTGTTGCCTGTAGTTGTTATTAAATAACCGACAGGGTGACTCCTTCGGGAAGGCGACTTCTTTGGTTTGGTACTGCGGGCCTTTGTTTTAATCGGCATGCATTCAAATAAATACGCATTTTGAGTATTAAAATTATTTATCTCCCAAAACTTCTGAAAAATACTTTTCGTTTCGCCTGCTGATACTACCTCAAAACATTTTCTTTTGCACAAACAATCTTTTCTCTCTTTTTTCCCTTTCCTCTTTTACAAGTATATGATTAACCACTCATCCGTTTGTTTTGTTGTCGCTGATCAATGTTACATCCTCGTTTTCTTTTTTTTTCCTCGAACAGGGTTTTCCTTGTCACGTTTACCAGATATTGCATTAGTATTATGGTTGGGTAACGCTCATCGAGCAAAAAGACAAAAGAGGGAATGTAAAGGTAGTGGGGGCAAAAATATTGTTAGACAGGAAGTGCGATCTTTAGAGGCCACATTAAACAAGGAGAGTCTCTCTCCTTGTTTGACATCAAATTTAGTTGGGTTATGTTATTGTTTATCCCAAATGTCATATGGAATCTTATTTATATTATATATATACTAAGACACATTCTGAAAAATATTATATAGCTACTATTAATAAGTGTCGGAAAATTTAAATTTGGCGCATTCGCATTTCCGGATATGTCCGCCATCAGAGGCCACTTTTTTGGTCTCCTTTTCATAAGGATTAGATTCCCTCTTTTGTCTTTTTGCTCGATGGTAACGGTGTAGGCCGTATCTTACGATGTTTCTGCAAAAGAAATTAAATTTGTACAAACAGAACATTTTTAAGCGTAAGAAAATTTCGGGCCAATGCATTATAAATGCATTCATTTTTCGAACAGCGAACAACAAAGTCATGAAAATTGCTCAACCAATATACTACTCCAAGAGACAGAGTCAACTGAGAATCAACATGAACAACCAGATATCTCTTTTCTTTCTAATCATGCTTCTTCTTCTTCGTATCTACCGTCACAAATATACATCGCTAATCCACAAGATAGCCAACAAAAATCAATATCAAGGAAAACTGTTCAAGCCCACACACGAGCAAGAAATGACAGCCCTGGAGGTGATAAACAACTAAAACAAACAATAATGAGCGATTACTGGCTCAAAGCACCCACACCAACGTCTAATAGATTTGCTAGCTTAGATGAAGTACCTGATGAGACCAACCAAACCACTGATGCAGTTAAAGAAAGTATTCAACCCCCACCCTAACATGCTTGCATAGCTCTCCATGCTTGTTACAATACACAGTATAAAAAAATTGATAATGCTCCTACTAATTTATGATGAAAAACCTATACATTTAGGGAGTACAGATTCTGATAGCTCAAAATATGGGATATAATAATAGAACATATAAAATCAGAACATAAGACAAACTATAAAATTGTAATACTCTTATTTATTTTTATGACTAGTTAAGTTTAATTAAAAATTATAGATCCCAATAGTTTTTTCCACACTTTGTAGAAATAGTATTTTATTTATACTTATTCTTTGTATTCGGGTACGTTGCTGGTTTAAAATTTGCGAAGCTTTCGAAAAAAGTCTTTCACATAGTACAAAGCTGACTACTGTAGTATTTATAAGCGATTTTATATAACTTTGGAAATTGATGTAAATAACCAGCCCACACTTCTAAGGGATTTTCTTTCAATCTAATAACTGGTGTTCTTAAATAGATCCAAAGCTCATCTGAAATACACTCTTAATTTTTAGTTGATTTCCAATTTCTTTGCACCAGGTTATGATGGCCACTTCAAAGACTAAAATCTTCTGAAACTTTTTCTGAATTTTTTGATTCAAATTACATATTAATAGTTTCAACCTGAAGATCCGTTTCCATCACTTTTGACACCATTTGCACAAGCTGAAGGATCTTCAAAATGTAGTTTTTTAAATCGTCGGTCCAATATTGTACTTATAGCTCAAGAAGAAACTTGCTCAATACCTACCCATACGTTTACTGATCTCTTTCAGGATTAATTTTTGAACATCCATCACCAATGGTGCATTAATTGAAAGGGCTTTCAATTTGGACATCATGCAGTGAACCAAAAGTATTACCTTACTGCTTAAACAATACTTATGCACAGATATTTCTTTAGTTGCATGTTCAAGCGGGCTAAGTATATTAACAAGTGATGTGGCTATATTTAATTCTAACATAGTCAACAGGTGCTGTTTTATGGCATTTCAATATATCACTTGCCGAATTTTTCAGCTCCAAAAATCTCTGAAGTCATATAGTATGTACTGTTCCACCGAGTAGACACATCTTGTATGAGTTTTGTTTCGGCTTCACCTCTCACTGCATTTCGTAACTCATCACTTTCCACACAATTATGCTTAAAATAGGTCACAATGGCTTTTATTTTTAATAGCATATTTTGTAATTTAGTGTGTGGGCAAAACAAGGGAGGTACTTCTGTTTTTCCAACAGCAATTTCCACTACTTTCACCATATTTGCTGATTTATCAGTGACAACAGCAGAGACTGTCAGTGTTAAATCCACAGTCATTGCAGGTTCTAAGGAGCTTTGCTGCTATATATTCAGACTTATGTCTTTGATCCAGATGGTAAACTCACAATGTAACTGATTGGAACTCCGTGCCTAGTCCAAAATGAGCAGTTACACCTAAAAAACTGTGGATATGTATGTCTGACCAAATATCACTGGTCAAAGTCACATATTCAACACTACAAATTTTTGATTTTAATAAAGTTGACAAGACATCATATTTCTCATCAAGCCAATGTGTAATGGTACTTCTACTAGGTATGTTATAGTGAGGAGCAGTCACTTTTAGCAGATGTTTGAAACCTTTAAGTATAAAATGGCATTATTAATTTTTCTTGTTTTATCACAAGTAGTAGATTTATAAGAATCAATTTCTTCAAAACTATTAACAGTATTACCAACCGCTTTCACGATTGTGCTGCCTTACTATTTGCTGATGATTTATCTCTGTAATGGTGTTCACTTAATGATATAAACCTTAATTCGAGCAAATGTTATGTAATTAACTTTAAATGTACTCACCACCCTATATTATCAAACTATTACATTGTTGGCCAATTGCTCAATACTTTAAATAAAATCAAGGACTTGAGAGGTACACCAGATAATTATTATCTTTGTTTCAATACTCATATCAATATTATTCAAACATATATGAAAATGTTAGGTCTCGTAAAAATAATGACTTTACAAACTTATCCAGTATTAGAGTTCTTTACTTCTCCTTATGCAGGTCTCACCTCGAGTATTGCTCTTCAGTGTGGTCGCTACACTACTTGCTCTACGTTAGGAAACTTAACAAGTTTGTGTACTTTGCCTTCTACTCATTTACTTCCAGTTAGTCCAGTCAATTCTGTTGGTCTTCTTATTATCTTATCATTTATTATTTTAACCGAAGTCAAAATATTTTAATGTGTCGATCAATTTATGCGTATCTATTGTATCATATGATTTTCGAAAATCAATAAATAATATGTTTAGTGACAGATTAATTCAACATATGAGCTAGTCAGTATCTGTTTTATTGTAAAAATTTGGTCTATTACAGATCTGTTTGCTCTAAACACATTCAACTGGCAACATGGCCGGAGAAGAGAGTGCCGCGAATTGCGATCTAATTAAAACTTGCAAAGGTTGCGAAAGAAATGTTGTTACCAACCACTATTGTGAGATGTGTAACGTGTAAAGCAGTTTTCCATCCATCTTGTGCTCTAAGGGTAGCTGGCTTGGTAGTTGTTGGCAAAAATAACTTAGTGAAATGCTGTGCTATAGAAAGTGAGGTTATACCAGAACAAAACTTTAACGAAAACATCAAAATGCTGCTAGCTGCCAAAGAAGAATTACTTAAAAGTAAGGATGAACTTATTTCTGAATTAAAAGCTAAAGAGCATGTATTATTAGAAAATATTAAACTACTAAAAGAAAATATATCATTATTAAAAATGAATACTGGCAAAGTTGCAAATAAAAGTTACAGTTCTGCGGTTGCTACGCCAATACCACAGACACAGAACATTGCTGTCAGGCAGATATCAGCTGACGAATTAAATTCAAAATAAAAACAAAACATTTACCAAATGCATCAACAAAATACAGACGTTAATAAACAGAACTTAAACGCTGGTATTCTGCATGCTCATACGGCTAATAAAATGCAAGAAATAATAAATTTAGGCCACACAGAAAATCATGAAGGAGATTGGCAACAGCAGCATAGAAGGAGATACCGCAAGTTTATGGTTGGGAATAATGAAGAAACCAAGGATGTGCAGTCAGTACCTAAGTGTGTATCCCTTCATGTAACTAGGCTTGCACCAAATACGACCACAGAAGACTTGAGGCGGCTTTTAGACCCCAATTTTAAGGATGTTACGGTGTGAGTCTCATCCATCTAAACACCCTGAACTTTATACATCCATGAAAGTTACCATCAGAAGAGATGAACTAAAAAAGCTTGGAAGAGGGAAGTATGGCCATCTGGTACCCTCGTGTCTCATTTTTTAGTAAAAACGAGGATGCCAACAAGGCAGATGGATCCTCAGAATCAGAATTAATGATGCAAACATTGCAGACCCAAAATCTAAACATTTTCTATCAAAATGTACGAGGCCTACGCACTAAAACAAGTGACCTATATACCAATGTTCTTAGTGAAGATTTTGATATAATCCTATTAACTGAAACATGGCTTATATACCATTTTTCAAAGTAAAACACTTGCACGTCATGATTTATACAAAGTGACGTCACTTGTATTTAAAATTTCCAGAACATCAACCTTATAGTTCAAATTTTTCTAGCACAGCTAATAATACGAAACCCATACGGAACTGCTCGATCTTTCATAGGCGTCAACAATGTGTAATAATCAGAAAAATATAATCAACATTATATTGGAAATTTTAGAATTATATTGATTAAATAACCAAAAACATTTATTATTATTATTATTATAAATTTTATGAAATAACTCTTGAAGTTTAATATTCCACAAAATAATAATTTTAATTAAATATATTAGACAATTGTACGCAACGGATACAGAAATATATCAAATATTATTGACAGTTCAGCGGGTGGCAAAAGTGTATAACGTGTTGCCGGTTTTTTAAAGTAGAAATTTTATCATAATATAATATCGCTTCTCCAGAGCAACATCGACGCAAGTACAGATTACTAAAATGCTGGAAAATTGACTTTTAAAAATATTTTTACAGCAAAGTAAACAAAGTGAAAGTTTAAGTGAATATTTTTGAAACTGAAATTACTTTTTTTAATGGTAAATTTAGTCTAATTTTAAATGACAATCTTAGTGTTTTGATAATAAAACTTTTAGAGTCTACACAGATCTCAGAACTTTGCAGCCTCCCAGTTGCGTCATTGTTCTTCCAATGTTTTTCAAATAGTTTCTGAATCGGTTTGAGTTGGTCTACAATAGTAACATTAAAAAAATTTAAAGAAAGGTTTAGGTATATAATTTTATTGTCAGTAAATAATACAAACTACTCAAAATGATAAAAAATAACAAAAACACTACTCAGAATTACTAAAAAGTAACATTTGTTTTTTGTACACCTTTAAAAAAATTAACAAAAACATTCACAATTCAAAACAAGCTATTAAAAAAAGGTTCGTAATATTTGGGAATTATATTACTTGATAATAAATTTTCTAGGTCCCTTTTCTTATTTTCAGAGATCGGAATTTTTGAAATGTATGCAGGTCTTTTTCTAACATCTACATTATCATCTGTCCTTGTCACTCGTCTACTTTTTACGGTTATAGCATAGGCCTGATTCCAATCCACCTGTTTGTAGCTGGTTTTGTAAAAGAACCTATCACTTTCCTTCTCAAATCGAATTATTTTAATATCTGACAATTTTATTTGTTCGCCGTGTATATTTTTCTGGCAGTTGAAGCCGATGTCGTTAGCAAGCGTTTTCAAATCGATGAAGTCATTGTAACTTAATTCTTTTACTAGAAGAGGGTTTCCTTTTTTCTTTGCGTTTCTAATAATCGACACAATTTGATCGGGAACGTATATCGGTCCTGACTTTTTAGCTCTTTTCATAGCTTTTTCGATGATACTGTGGACTACATCACCTTCGTTCTGTGTATGACCTCGGATGAGATACTTGTGTGTTATGGAATTTAACTGAAACTTCTTAATTGCGTAGTAATACATTGCAAGGACAAATCTGTTTTTTTGCTGACCACCGCAGTTATCGGAATAAAGAATTATGTCAGATTGAGGATGTGTATTAGCGATTTCTTCAAGAAATGAAAGGACACATGAACCAATTTCGACTGCTCCTCTATGTCCTAGACCTTCATGCCAGAAGTAACAGGATGTCTTGTCATTGCCTATTTCTGATATCGTAAAATTAAAACAATTTAATCTTGATTTATAGTAAAAAGCTGATGTTTGTCCCATAGGTACTGGCAGGACAGCTTGTAGGTCATACATTACCAAAACTGTATTTGATCCATCTTCTTTTGCTTTTTCTTTGTCTGAAGCTTTCTCAGTTCTACTTAGTTCTTTTTCCTCTTGATGTGACTTATACTGACATTGTAATTTTTCTTTTTCTTCGTCAGGCGCGTTTTTAAATGATTCACACAAGTCGCATTGGTCTTTCTTTGGGAAAAAGAAACCAATATTGAATTGTGTATTAAATATGTAGGCGTAGGCGTCATAGTTTGCAGCAGGCTGGCCCAAATCGTCTTGTTGCTTTTTATAGTGTCTGTGCATTTCTGCAATCGATAAACCGCCATCTATAAACTCTCTTGATGTGATTGAGCGGCCAATAAATGTACTACCTTTATGGTATTGTTCCATCCGATAGAATGGCACGTTCTGACTCTTTTGACACATGTAACTCAAAACTGCAAAAAATTGCACTTACGTCTTTGTTGCTCCGGAGAAGCGATATATATTAATAAATTGTATTTATAAATGCATTTTAAATTTAGATTAATAACTTTATTGATTAAAAACTAATTATTGCTGTGTATTGTGATTATGATATACCAAAACAAATAAAAGTCTGTAGAAAGCTGATAAGCTTTCACATATGACAGATTATTTTGATCAAGAAATAATAGCAGGACGTTTTTGTTATTAAGTCCCTAAAAGAGGTAAGTTTAAAATTTAGAATATTTAATTTTGTATTAAAATGTTTTTTATGTATTTTAATTTGTTGCAGTAGTCTTAAAACTAAGTGTATTTACTATTAATATAATAGTTTGACAAATAGTTTACATTTTACAAATTCCTCACTTACTAACTATTCTGATGTTTTGGCAACGCTGTGTGGTTCTGACGACGTAAATCTTGAATGACGTGCAAGCTTTTTTATCTGAAAAATGCTATAGATGGAATCTCCAATGAAGAACTTTTTGATAATCGCTACATAGTCTTTCGCAAAGATAGGGGCAGTGGCAAGACATTGGGTGGTGGAGTTATGGTAGCATTAAAAAAGAAATTTATTTTAGAAAGTATT